GGGAAAAGAAGAAATTTATCATTTTTATATCAATGTATTTTACTGGTCACTGCTGGATTAATTTTTAAGTGGTTTAGAGATGTGGGAGATAAGTAATAAAGGGCCTCCATTATTTAAATCCATTATGAATTTCTTCAAAATGACCTTGCATTTATAGTAAATAAATCCCATATTTATTTGGCACTGGATCAAGTATTGGTTTGCTTTTTTCTCTCAGAAATTTAGTTTATTCCTCTTATACTTCCTTTTGGGGAATTACAAAAAAAGTCAATCTCTTTTTCTGTTCTTTTTGCATATTGTAGTATGCTTCAATGAGATCCTATCATGTACCAATATTTTATTTTGTATACTCTGCATACTATTGCAACCACATTTTTATTGCTAAACTAGCTTATCCCTATTGTCTGGAGCCACTTGCTGCTGTTGCCAGTTCTCAAAGAATGCAAACTAATTTTAATATTAGCTTAAACAAAATACAATTAGGAAAATAAATGTTGCCAAAAATACAAATAATATGCTTCACAACCGAAGATAAAGGATTTTTGTTATTTGCTGATTTGAACAGACTATATTAGTAGTTCCCTTTTTAGTGTTGATTGTAGAGAATGCTCCTGATAATTACAGTTGACCCTTGAACAACACAGAGATTAGAGGTGCCAATCCCCGTGCAGTTGAAAATCCATGTAACTTTTGACTCCCCCAAAACTTAACTACTATTAGCCTACTGTTGACCAGAAGCCTTACGAATAACAAAAACAGTTGATTAACACATATTTTGTATGTTATATGTATTATACACTGTATTCTTACAATAAAGTGAGCTAGAGAAAATAAAATGTTACTAAGAAATCATAAGGAAGAGAAAATGTATTAACTATTCTTTAAGTGGAAGTGAATTATCATGAAGGTCTTCATCCTCATTGTCTTCATGTTGAGTAGGCTGAGGAGGAAGAGGAAGTAGAGCCAGGGGTTGGTCTTGCTATCTTAGGAGTGGCAAAGTTGGAAGAGGTGGACAAAGTGGAAGGGGAAGCGGGAGAGGCAGGCGCACTTAGTGTCACTTTACAAAAATACGTTGTAATTTTTGTCTGACTTTTTTGCCTTTTCATTTCTCTAAAAATGTTTCTATATGGTAACAATCCTTCTACCATTTGCTTTAGTTTCAGTACCTGTATCACAGAAGGGTCCAAAAGAAGTCAAAAGCAGTCTTGAATAATCGAAACCCTTCTGTCAGATTGTCTAAGCTAATTTGTTTTCTGGCACTGCTGCTTCTACTTCTTCTACTTCTTTCTCATCGTCCGGCACTGATTCAAAAGCACTCATCTCTATCAAGTTGTCTTCTGTTAACCTCTCTGGTGTGGTGTCTATTAGCTCTTGAATTTCTCACAGATCCATATCTTGAAACCCTGCACCCTCTCCCACAACCTTTTTTTTTTTTGCCATATCTGCAATCTCTTTTATGATTTCTTTGATTGGCTCTGTCATAAATCCTGTGAAGTTGTGCAGAACATCTGGATGCAGTTTTCTCCAGCAGGCATTTGTTGTTTGGGGCTTGATGACTTTCACAGCTTTTTCTGTAGCAATGATGGCAATTTCATTGCTGTAATCCTTCCAGACTTTGATGATGTTCTCTCTATCAGGGTTCTCTTCCACAGCGTTGACAATCCTTTTCCTAGAGTATTGTGTTTGTTTTATTGGTTCTATTGGTGCTTTGTCCCTAAATTGAGGAAGTATGTTATCAGTAAGGGACTGCCTTTCAAAATTCTTTTGATATTGGAAAATGCCCCTGGCCACCCGGAACTGCATGAGTGCAACAGTGAAGGAGCCAAAGTGGTCTACTTGCTCCCAAACGCATCTCTAATTCAGCCTGTAGATCAGGAAGTCATAGGGACCTTTAAGGCTGGCAGCTGGTGTTTATCTTTTCCTTTCAAGGCTCCAGGGTTAGCAGCTTTATAGATAAGGGCAGTCCAGAGCGTAAACCTGACAATAGAGTTAGCCTTTCCCTTTCTGCCTTAAATCCTGTTACTCCCTTCTCTTCCATACTAATAAATATCCTTTGTGGTATTTTTCCCCCCAGAGTAGGGCACTTTCATCTGCTTTAAAAATCTGTTCAGGCA